GAAATTTTAAAATTTTTGATTTTTTTATTTTTTTTTTATTTTTTTAAACACCTAAAAAAATAAAATTTCGCTCAAAGTGGGTGGCCACAGGTATTTTAAACCATTCTGTGAAGTTTTGAAATTTTTACTTTTTTGCTTATTTTTAATTTTTTTGGCATCTAAAATAATTAAATTTCGATTAAAGTGGGTGGCCACAGGTATTCCAAGCCATTCTATGAAGTTTTGAAATTTTTTATTTTTTATTTATTTTTTTCGGCATCTAAAAAAATTAAAATTTCGCTCAAAGTGGATGGCCACGGGTATTCTAAGCCATTTTGTGAAATTTTGAAATTTTTTATTTTTTGCTTTTTTTAATTTTTTTCGGCACCTAAAAAAAATTAAATTTCGCTCAAATTGGGTGGCCACAGGTATTCTAAGACATTCTGTGAAGTTTTTAAATTTTATATTTTTTGATTATTTTTTATTTTTTTTGGCATCTAAAAAAAATTAAATTTCGCTCAAAGTGGGTGGCCATAGGTATTCTAAGCCATTTTGTGAAATTTTAAAATTTTTGATTTTTTTGATGTTTTTCGGCACCTAAAAAAATTTAAATTTCGCTCAAAGTGGGTAGCCACAAATTCTAAACCATTTTGTGAAATTTTGAAATTTTTGATTTTTGCTTTTTTTTCGCACCTCAAAGATCGTGACTTCCAGATGAATATGCGTTTTGAAGAAAGAGTTCTCTCAGAAATCATTCTCATTTTTGGTCTAGAAATAAAAAACCTACTTTTTTTTTGTTCTGATTTCTGGTTCAGAATCGGTTCTGGAACAAAAAGTTGTTCCAGAAATAGAAAAATGAAATTGCGTTACCAAACGGGTTTCTGGTCCAAAACTATTTCTGGGAATAGAAAGCCAGTTCTGGACAGAACCAGAATGGTTATCATGCGCTACCTATGAGCCCTTTTCTTCGAGAAAATATTGGGTAGGACTGTCTCGCCACGTCATCGGTGAGACAGTCCACCCAGATCGCGACACGTGGACTTCGGGACCCACTCGTCAGAAATATTCAAAAACCCCGTTCCCCGCTCTCTCCGTTTGCTTGTCCGTTACTGCCTCGAAAACACGAAAAGCTTCGTTTCTCTCTCGATCTCGATCTCTCCCTCCGTCCCTATTCACGACCGAAAAGGCACCGCGCTCTGCTCTCTCCCTTCCTCCTTCGCTCTGCTCTGTCTCTCCGTCCCTCTTGGCGACCTCGCCTCCTTCGCTCGAAGGTCGACCCCTTTTTGTCGTCTGCATCCGACTCAGGTTAGGGTTTTTTCCCCTCTTTCTCGAAGCGAACCATCTCCTCTCTCGCTCCGTCTCCCTTCACGACCCCTCTTTCTCAGGAATTTCAAGGAACCAAAAGTGCCGGTGTCTCTCTCCGCGACCAAATAAGCAGCGGCCTCCACCGTCGCCTCGAGGAGCCCATCGGCTACTCCGGCTCGTTGTCTCCGTCCGACAGAGCGAAGATCTGCTCTGGAGGTTAGAGCTTTCCTCCTCTTTCGCGCTTATATTTGTTGGGGTTTGGGGGAATCAACCTATATTTGTTTGATTATATGATGTCTGCAGTTCTCTGGATAGTTGATTTGACTGTCCATTCAATTCTCGAGGAAAAATCGCATTCCTTCATTTTCTGGTGACCTTTCGGGAACAAGCGCCGACGAAGATGTCTTTAAATGGATGTTTTGTTAGTGGGTGATGGTTTTGTGTGATTGTCTACCCGTATGAGGATGGATAGATAAAATTCACTCTACGTGTTTGTGTAAATTCAGCTTCTAGTTCACAATCAGCGTCCTCTAATTTGACTTGAGGCTTACGGGTCTCGTCATTTTTATTTGCTTGAGTTGATTTTGTACTGTTTTGTGTCGTAAAACCAGGTTAATGAGAAGAATGTACTCTATTAAAGTAATTTGCCATTTCTATACTGTAGCTAATATTTGTTCTTTCCATGCAGGTGGTTGCTTTTGCTACATTTTTGAACCATCAATCAGCAATAGCAGCATGGCATGCCTTGAATGTGAGTGCCATTTTCACTTGTTGTGTATTTTTGTACTTGCCAACTTCCAATGGATGGTATTTTTTGCCGACTTCACGTTAGATAATGCAATTCCCAAATACCACTTGTCTTTTGTTAGTACGTAGGAGTGATGATTAACTTGTATTGGATTGCCTTGCTGAAAATTGTTGTCAGTTTTGTTGTCTGCTTAGCAATCAGATTGTTTTATGCCTTGTGTTTTATACCGCAATTCATCTGGATGATGCATATAGGGCGTCAAATTCGATCTGCAAACTGGATCCACTTTGCATATAGAGCTAGCCAGATCAAATTCAAGGCGCAAACATAAACCGGGTGAGCTTTTGTGTGTCGCATATTTTTTCTTGAGTATGGTTTGCTGTTTTTGCTACTTTTCATGGTGATATTCCTTTCTTCATCAGAGGGTCATCTATCGTTTTTTTATTTCTTTTCGTCGGCACAGGTAGTGGACCTTATGTTGTTATAGATAACAGAAGTAACGAGGCATCAAATGCACGAGAACCTTCAAGCAATGATGATGGTAAATGCCCCTTTAGTTTCTCGTTACTATGTCTCTTTTGTATTAGGCTGTCCATTTTGTCCTTAAAATGTAACCTCGTGTCCTAATGGGAGGTGGAGGTTCTACTGCTGGAGCTTGATTCTATTGCTCACTAGATTATCCTGTATATGCTTGTCCATTCAGGAGACTCTGAATCAGCAGATCCATCTGAGGAAGATAATCATGAATCTGGCAACGAGGATGATTCAGAGACTGCAAAAAGGTTGGAAGCGCTCAAGCATCGCAGTGTTTGCCTTTAACATGTCGATCTTTTAATATTTAGTTAAAGGATCTGGCTAGCACCAGACATGTTCATTTTGTTGCCTTTAACATGTTCATTTTGTTGCATTGTGTATCTCCGTTGTTAAGTCCGGCTTTGTCAATGTGTTAGCATTCAAATGAATGGGCACACGGTGAAATTATTTCGCTCTTCATAAAATAGATTCTATCTTTGTCACTAATGTCGTTGAATCCTCACTTTTACAGGTGCTATCATGGGCCCTCTCATAACCACTGTCGAGATTGCTCTTAAGGATTTATATGCTGAATTTGTTCTAGACAAACCAAAGGAAAAGCATGACTAGAATACCTGATCCAACTCTCTGCATTGCTTGAATTTTTGTTTGCAATAAGGTGGGGAGCCTCTTTATCGAGATTGAGCTAATAGGAAAGGCTATACTGCATCTAGACGTCATTCTGTCAGTATGGTTATTTATTTTTATTTGTTTGTGAGTTGTAATTGATGGGCGATCAGTCTGGAGGTGAAGCTTGTTTTTCTTCTTTTAGATGGTTCTTTGTAATAATTTTTTGTTCATAGCTTTTTGTAACTTGTAACGAGATTGTACATTACTCTGTATCCATTTTCAAGAGATCATGATGCTTATATTGGAAATTGGAGTAAAAATAGTTTTATGTGGTTTCATCATTCTTCTTAGGCTGCGCATGACAACGATTCTATGCCCGGGAACAGATTCTGCTCAGAAATGATTCTTTTTGATTCTGTGCCCGGAATTGATTCTGAACATTTTAAGGCGTTTGTTAACTGCCCAAAATTCCATCCCTGGAATAGAAAAAGAACAGAAATGCGTTTGGTAATGCCGCAAAATTTCTTTTTATTAATAATATTTTTAAATATTTTAATATTTCTTTCTTTTTTTTCTTTTCTTTTTTTCTTTTCCTCCTTGGCCATGGCCTGCTTGCTGGTCATGACCGGTAAAATATTTTTTTATTAATAATATTTTTATTAAAAGTATTTTTTCTTTTTTTTGGCCATGGCCTGGTCGCCGGCCATGACCGGTAAAATATTTTTTTATTAATAATATTTTTATTAAAAATATATATTTTTATTTTTTTGGCCATGGCTGGTAAAATATTTTTATTTAGAATATGCATTTTTGTTTTGTTGGGCTATGGCCTAGTCGCCGGCCATGGCCGGTAAATATTTTTTTTATTAATAATATTTTTTATTAAAATATTTTTATTAAAAATATATATTATTATTATTTTTGGCCATGGTCTAGTCGCCGGTCATGGCTGGTAAAATATTTTTTTATTAAAAATATATTTTTTTCTTTTTTTTTGCCATGGCCTGTAAAATATTTTTTTTATTAATAATATTTTTTATTTAAATATTTTTATTAAAAATATACATTTTTATTTTTTTTTTCCATGGCCTGGTCGCTGGCCATAGCCAGTAAAATATTTTTTTATTAATAATATTTTTTATTAAAAATATATATTTTTTCTTTTTTTGCCATGGCCTGGTCACCGGCTATGGCAGGTAAAATATTTTTTTTATTAATAATATTTTTATTAAAAATATATATTTTTCTTTTTTTTGGCCATGGCCTGGTCGCCGGCCATGGCCGGTAAAATATTTTTTATTTTAATAATATTTTTTATTAAAATATTTTATTCTCGTTAAATCCGGCGAGGTTGGTCCTCGGGCCGGACATTAGAAGCTACATTAAAAACCAAGAAAAGAAAGAAGAAAAAAAAATTGATTCTCAAAATTGTTCCCAGAATCAAGAAGTTACTTTTTTTTTATTCTTGAAAACTGATTATGGGAACAATTTTTGACAAAATTGTGCCCAGAATCAAAAAATTAAACAAACGCATTTCTGTTCCCAAACTGATTCTGGGAACAAAAGAACAGAATCAAACACTGTTTGGCAAGTTGTCATGCGTAGCCTTAATCACCTATTCACTATCCTCATGGTTGGAGTATTATAATTTTAAATTTATGACTGTCCTTGAATGGCCCACCAAACATTTTTTGCCAATTGAGTTTCAAAGTATCAGCTTCTTCAGGCATAGTCGAATGGCAAAATAGACATTGCGGACTGGTTTTTCTTCTAGTGATGAAATTGATGACTGCAGGTTAAGCTCGCTAATTCGAGCACATCAAAGTCCATGAAAATCTCAATCTGGAATCAAAATGTCGAAAGGGGAAGAGGAATAAAAGAGGGTGAATCAAGAAACTCTGCTCTTCACCCTGTAAAGAGCGACTCCACAAATAGAAAAACTAAAGAAGTTCTGTCTCGAATGACCAACTTCGCCAAGTTGGGCATACCTCATGGGAGGTCAACTTTCATGTGACAGCAGCAAACTATTAACACCACTTTGAATCCGTGATGAGCTTAATGATAGCTTAACATATCCTTTGACGTCTTCTTAATGCTTAATGCTATTTTGACTTGCAAATCTAATTGCTTGGCAGCCTTGGTAGATAGTGAAGTGAAGAAAACCAACAGACATGTTGTAATTAGTGAGCTTGATAGGTCCAGCGATTGCAGAACAACTCAAAGCTAAACTGCTCTACAAAAGCTAAAGGCTCTCACTTTTAAGCCTTCAAACAGTGACTTACACCCCCATCTTTTATACTAAGTACCACATTCATAATAAGGCTGCGCATGACAACGATTCTGTGCACGGGAATAAATTCTACTCAGAAATGATTCTTTTTTATTCTGTGCCCGGAATTGATTCTGAGCATTTTAAGGCGTTTGTTAACGGCCCAAAATTCCATCCCTGGAATAGAAAAAGAATATAAATGCGTTTGGTAACGCCATAAAATTTTTTTTTATTAATAATATTTTTAAATATTTTAATATTTCTTTCTTTTTTTTCTTTTTTTTTCTTTTCCTCCTTGGCCATGGCCTACTCGCCTGTCATTACCGGTAATATATTTTTTATTAATAATATTTTTATTAAAAGTATTTTTTCTTTTTTTTTGCCATGGCCTGGTCGCTGGCCATGACCGGTAAAATATTTTTTTATTAATAATATTTTTTATTAAAATATTTTTTTATTAATAATATTTTTTATTAAAATATTTTTATTAAAAATATATATTTTTATTTTTTTGGCCATGACCGGTAAAATATTTTTTTATTAATAATATTTTATATTAAAATATTTTTATTAAAAATATACATTTTTATTTTTTTGGGCCATGGCCTAGTCGCCGGTCATGACCGGTAAAATATTTTTTTATTAAAAATATATTTTTTTTCTTTTTTTGCCATGTCCTGATCGCCGGCCATGACCTGTAAATTTTGTTTTATTAATAATATTTTTTTAAAAAAATATACATTTTTATTTTTTTTGCCATGGCCTGGTCGCTGGCCATGGCCGGTAAGATATTTTTTTATTAATAATATTTTTTATTAAAAATATATTTTTTCTTTTTTTTGGCCATGACTTGATCGCCGGCCACGGCCGGTAAAATATTTTTTTTAATAATATTTTTTATTAAAATATTTTATTCTCGTCAAATCCGGCGAGGGCGGTCCTCGGGCTAGACAATAGAAGCTACATTAAAAACCAAGAAAAGGAAGAAGAAAAAAAATTGATTCTCAAAATTGTTCCCAGAATCAAGAAGCTACTTTTTTTTTTATTCTTGAAAACTGATTCTAGGACCAATTTTTGACAAAATTGTGCCCAGAATCAAAAAATTAAACAAACGCATTTCTGTTCCTAAACTGATTCTGAGAACAAAAGAACAGAATCAAATACTGTTTGACAAGTTGTCATGCGTAGCCTAAGAAGCAGCAAGTAGCACATCAAGACGCGATTTCGACAGGCACATTATTGACACCCGAGCAACAAAGGTGTCGACATGTTTTGTCTTGATTGTCTCAAATTGGTCTTCTCCATTGACAGTTCCTGCTCAAGCAACAAAAGAACGAATTTTGCAGCTTGCTTTTGAAGATATAACGCATTTACTAAGAATAACACATTCCAGGATTAAGAAGAGCGGTGGAAAGGAAATTTCATATATGAGAATTAGTCAAAGTGATGCTCCTTAATCGATGGGAACTTGGTATAAAAAACTGGATACAAATTCATAATTTAACCCTAGATCATGCACTGCTTTCAGTACATCTCGGAAGTGCATGGTCCTGCGAAACTGATTTTGATTGCCTATAGACTATGGTGAGTAAATGGAGAAAGCAGAAAATCATGCTATGTCAACTTTAATGCGCGCCGCGTTTTTGTCCCGGGCTTTATACATAAATTGTGCAACTCTCTCGTATGTGCAAAACCCAATTTCAAAAGAGGAAAAATACTACAAAAGAATGGGGATATGCTTCCTTTCATCCTAAAGATAAAGGGATTGCAAACTCTTCCAGTTTACTAAATCCCTTTTTCCTCCAAGCACACAAGTTGAAACCTCTGAACCTTTCCGCTACCAAATTCAATTTGCTCGACACAGCTTCCCAAATATCATCGCAAAATCTCCTATTGATATTCTCAAGTAAAAATCGAGTGAGAAGAACTTCACAGACAACTTGTGCCAATGATGAAAGAAACTTCAGACAACAATTTAAAGGGTCAATAGGTTAATTCTTGCCATGTAAAGGAGCCCGATCAAGGCAAAATAAAACTGTCACAATCCTGAAACCACAAGTCAAGCTGCACGCGGCATGATATCGATAAACTTTTAGTGCTCTAAGGCCACCCAGTCAAAATCAGCAAGAGAGAGAGAGAGAGAGGGGCTAAATATCCTTTCCATTACAGGTCAGTAGTGTACAATGACTCGAAAACAGAGTAGAACATCGAAACCTGCATACTTCACATGCTAACCTACTGAAGCATCTCGATTGATGTAGCTAGCAAGGATCACCTAGAGGGGGTGAATAGGTGATCTTAAACAATTTTTATATTTTTATGCGGAAATGAAAAATCACAGATGAGTCTGAATAAAATTCAGATTCAAGACAGATTGTATAGACGGTGCTCTTGATGTGCAGAATGTAAAATAAGAGATAAGGGATAGAAAATCTGCACACAAGTTTATAGTGGTTCAGCTTATAGTAAGCCTACGTCCACTCTCCCACGCTGATAGCCTACCGGCTGGATTTCACTATGTAATCAATGAGGAATTATAGCTTTAGAGTGATAGCACTCTTGTGTATGATAGGACTCTCTATCTCACATAATCACCCTTACAAAGTATCCCTCAAGATCTTAATTTTTGGCTCAGCAAGACAAGTAAAGAATGATTGGAGTATACTCAGACTTTGGACTTGTTAATTTTTTATTCTGTTCTTCCTTCTGTTGCTCGTTGATCTCCTTAAATACTCTTCTACTTCCAAACTAGCTGTTGGACAGCTATTAGAGGATCATCTTCCAATCTTCACCTTGGACAGATTTGTATAATAAGGATTGAGTAGCCGTTGGATGACAGATTCTGAATCCCGCTGATTCTGGTCGCCCATACAATCAGAATCTTGGTTTCCATAAGTAGAGTTTTATCCGTTGTAATGCATACTTGTCGAAGTATTTGATTGTCAATCAATTATTGCCTTAGATTGAAACAATCAAAACTTTCCTTCTGTGAAATCCATACCGGATCACTAGCTATTATGTTTGGTTCTGAATTCTACGTCTGCGTCTGAAGAAATTCTGCGTCTGCATCTGAAAAACTTCTGCGTCTGCATCTGAATAATTTCTTCGTCTGCATCTGACTAAATTTGCGTCTGAATCTCAGAACTAAGATTATGTGGGTCTTCAATAAGGTATTTGACAGCTTGTAAAGTCTGAATAACTTCCTTCTGAGCTTCCAGAATATACATACCTGGAATAAATTAGTTCAGAATAAGTATCAGATTTACAATAAATTGGAAGGTTTTGTCAACTTCAAAATCAATAGGAATTTTCCTCAACAATCTTCCCCTTTTTGATGGTGACAAAACTTTCCTGCAGATTGAATTAATTTGAAGTTGATTTGTAAGTAAATAAGCATATTAAGCGCATTGAGGCACAGATTGAAATTGAAAGAGCAAACTCTGATATCTGTGTCTTTCTTTTCCTTTGCATATAACCTGCATTTGATCCTGCATATTAGTATAGCAAATCTGCATATGATTCTCCCCCTTTTTGTCATCAGCAAAAAATAATAAAGAGAAGAAATCATTGATATTAAGCAATCAACCAGTCTAACAACAATGGTTAGAAATATTACAGACCAAATGAAAATAAGATGAGTTGGAGAGAAATGTTAAAAACAGGCTATTTTTTAGAAGGAGTACGAATCAGTTGAAAATTTTCCAATATTGAGACAGTCTCCTCAATCTTCGAACTGCATTGACCTATGGCCTTATTCATGTTGGATGAACACATAGCAATGGCTTCCTCTAGTTCTGCTTTGTCTGCTGCTGCCTGAAGTTGTTGAGTCTTGTAGTTTTCCTCAACAATTCTTTGTAGATTCTTCATGTCTTGTTCTAGTGCAACTTGCTTTTCTTTAATCTCGAGCAGAATAGAGAGGATGTTCTGATTATCAGATGGCTGATCTTGGACATTAGCTTCCTCAGACTGATCGTACCCTGTGGCTGATTCTGATGGAATCTCCCCCTGAACAGGTGCTTAATCTTCAAAAACATGATCTTCATGAATTGTTTCTGAAACCTTAGAAGCTGGTTCAAGATCATGTTCTGGGCCTCCTATTTCAAAGTGCTATGCTTCTGCTTCATCATTTTCATCGTGCAAAAGAATTCTTCGTTTCTTGCTGTACACTTTGATTGGGGTAGGAGAATCAGGCTGCTTGCTGGCTGAACTAGTTCTTTTCCTTTGCTCTTTCTCAATTTTCTTTCCAACAGATTTTGCCTCCGACTGTTGAGCCTCTTTTCCTCTTACTTTTTCCTTTACATCATCAAACTGTTTCATCTTGGAGAGCATTCTTTCTCCAACATACATATAGGGAACAGGGTTCTGGCGCATATCATCAGGAATAGATATTTTTAAGAACATGAAGATGCGAGAGATTAAGGCACCATATGGCAATTGTCCCTTGTCCTTCTGCAATGCTCTGTACATATGGAAGATGATGATGTGAGGGAGAGAGAAGGATTGACCTTTTAAGATAGCCCAAATGAGCTTGATTTCTGATTTCGATAGGTCAGTTCTTGAGGCTGCTTTGGGCTTCAAGCAATTGATTATGATCTTATGCAAGATCACTGATCGTCTGGACAAGTCAGAGTAGGAAAGATGTCGCTTAGATCCGTGAGCAAAGTTTGGATTTTCAGAAGCCACCTTTGAAGCTTCTTCAAGATTCACTGCCAATGGAGTAAACTTAGAGTGTTTTGCTCCAATTATTCTTGCCAACTCATCCGCTTTTAAGTCAAACTTCTTGTCACCAACAGTGAATTGAATCCAATTGGGTGACAGAATTGAAAGATTGGAATAGAAATAGGCAGTTAATTCAGCATAAACATTGGCAGACTGAAGGCAAAATTCATAAATCCCTAACTTCTCAAACAAGTGCTTTACTGAAATGCCAGCCTTCTCTAGATAGTCAAAATCCACAGTCCTATGATTCATGACCCCTCGATCAAGTAACAACTTGTAACACACATTATGCTCAGTGCTTCGGAACAATCCTCCTGTACCAGGCAAACCAGA